TGATTAACTGTATCTGTGCTGCCTGCTTCCTCTCACATTGTTGTCAGACTGTAACAGCACCATTGCACATTAACCAGCGGTGACTTTGTCAAGGCTTTTATTTATTAATTTTAATTACACAGGACTGCAAATGCTGGCATATTGGGAGGCAGCGGACTTGTAAGTTCTGAACTCAGCATTGTCATCACTAGTTGTAGCGGAAGTCAGCAGTATGTGAGTGGAGACTGAACCAAGGGATCGTCAAAAACGCCCCAGTGAATAATTAAAGTGTACATGTGCAGAAACCACAGATGTTGTACTTTTACTGGGGTTCTGCTTCATCTCCCCTTAATTTTGAAACTTTTCTTCTTCGTTCACTTACAGTTTCCATTAGAGCTGCGACAATAAGTGGATTTACTGCAGACCCCCCTACCCCGACCGCTGAATTAATTGTCAAGTTGTTTTTAATGATCTAATCATCTCTTCTTGTCTATAAGGACATGTAAACAAGATGGAACATCCGCTTTGATATTATAACTATTAAACTGTTGTATTTTGTGGATTGTGATAAGTTCAATGACTGATGGATAATTACAGATAAGCACCAATATTTCATACCTCCTTAAATTCTGGAAATAAGTAAAACATAGTTAAAAAAAAGACTTTGTGGTGAATTCTGACAGTAATGTCTATTTAAAGCCATTATATAAATATATATTTAGAAACCTGCAGTACTTATGTTTAATTTCAGTGGTGATTAATTAGGACTTAATATAATGTTAATTTAGCTGCTTTATAGTAAACATTTTTCACCAAATGAGACACATAGAGACTTAGTGATTATTCTCGTGAAAGAAATAACAAATAATTAATCACAGCAGGCCAAAATATTTTTAAAAAAAAAAATTTTTATAATATATAACACAGTTGGGGTGTAGTTTTATTTTCTTGTTTATCTGAGAGGAGCTGACCGCTGGGCTCTCCAGCTCAGAAACCTGAATATATTGGAATTTTGTTCTAGAATATTTTAGACTGAGAGTAGACTCTCATTTGGCAGTAGGTGTGAATGGTTGTAAGTGTCTGTATGTGGCACTGTGATGGATCCCCCTCCCTCCCCTTTTGCCTGATGCAAGCTGGGAATAAGCAACCCTGAACTAAAAAAACACCTGAGAAGATGACGATCGATGGATGACATTATTCCTGGGTGCATGTTTATACAGGAAATAACAAGTGAGGTCAGCTGTAATGTGGGTCTCCACATTAATGGAAGTCCTGCGTCTCCACAGCGTGTGTGTGATTTTGAGTTCACCCAATCACATCAGAGCTGCAGCACAATAAAGACAACAAAGCTGAGTGGAATGACCTCTCTGCTATTGATTACACTTTTTAAACTTCTGTTGTCCTCAAAGAAGGCGTATATAGTCAGCCATTACTCTAATGAATGTGGAAAAAGAGGAGCTGTTAAAAATAAATCACTGAACCCAAAAGTCTTCTCCCCTCTTTTTTTTATTGCTTTTGCAGAACACCAAGCGAGAATCTAAACAATGTTTCAGATCAATAGAATGAAATATGTTTTTTTTTTTTTTTGGAAGCTGCCAAATATGAAGCAAAGTCTGCATGGCTTTACACGTTATTGCAAAAATATGTATAAAAACCAAGATAAAGCATACGGGTTCTTGAAGAAAAAAAAAATCTATCAAGTGTCTGAAGCGAATTATTTTCCAGCCATCACGTCAGTTTCGTCAGAAACCCACAGTTTTGCCAATTACTGCATCAGCCACACTAAGAGATCTCTCACAAATGTGTTGCTCTTTTCTCCCGTTGTTGTTTGAAATTCACACAGGGGTAAAAAAAAAAGGCCTAAGAAATGCCTCCTCACACATGTAATTTCTGGAAATTTCAAGGGTGACACCTGCTTCAAAAGGTCCTAAATTACAGTAGCTCTCTTGCTTTCATCCTGGTGAAATGTCCAGGGCAAATTTGACTTTTCACATCTCAAACATGGACTCATTTTGGCTTTTACAGATGTGACAGAAGAGTCGTTATTTGACATTAACCTAGCCGTGTGAAATCTTTTAAATGGCTGACTTTTTTTTTTCCTCCCTTTTTTTTCTCCTTGTTTCACATGTACCTGTTCTGTCTGTAGAGGCTGACAGGTGGATGGATGCATGGATGGAAAAATAGATGGATACCAGATACATAGGGGAAGCCTGGAGGGCCAGTGGAAAAAATAATCTCCACATTATATCTGCCTGACAGCTGTGACAGACACCGCAGTACGGTTTTAATTCAAACTTGAGGCAAGACTCTCTCAGATTTAAATAAAAAAGGTGCAAAGAGACTGCAGCCTAATTTACATGTAAACCTTCAAACAGAGACATTAAAATGAGCAATTAATGCTGTGTTTGACATTAACGAGACACTGGAAAATTCACCTGCAGAGGCTCAGCGTTACCGTCTATCTGGTCTGATAACGCTCCGACCCAATGACGAGTGTATGTTCCTGCTCTGCTGATGTGTTGATGTGAATATTTGCATTAATTAGAGATGTGTTTTCGGTGCAAATGAGGCTGGGCCAAACTGAATCAAGGTAGTTAAGCAGGAAACCATGACTATCAGGGTTGTTTTTGAAGTAAGCTTTATATACTGTATATGTGTGTATGTATGTTTGATCTAGTTTGATATAACCTTGACTGAATGTATAGTTGATCACTTGTGTCTGAATATCTGTTCAGGCGAGGAACAATACAAGGGTTAAACAAAATCTAGAGTGCTTTTTATAACTGTTGAAGTACTGTTTTATCCAGATTAGACGTCGCACTGGAGTATTAGTAGCATCTGCTGTTCGATTAGCATTTCACACTGCATACGTACTTCTTTGGCTTTTGGCTGTGGTCACATTCAGTTTGTATCTTTATGGAAGACTTGATGGTTTAGTCATGTAATTTTTCAGTGGTGCAGTGGCAGCATTGAGACGTCACCAATGTAGATGTTATCCCACTGTGGCCGTAGATGATATGAGGAGTATTTACATTTTTATATACTGTAAGTTGCTATAGAAAATAGGTTGCAAGATGCAAGATGTGCCAAAAAGAGTGTGACACTGTCTAAAAAAAGGACGGATCATTTGTTTATCATTCAGCAGTGGGCGCTGTTAGTGAAATCACATTTAGAACTGACTCATATATACACTGGACACCATAGATACGAGCCAGTCCATGGAGTATTCCATGGACTGTACAACTATTGCAAGATTTTACTCTTGATATGAGGAAATATTAAGTTATGAGTGCTCAATTGAGCTCCATTTTTCAGAATTTGAAAAAGTGGCCCCGACACCCTTTTGCGCTGTCTCGCTCACTGTCCCTTGCATGGTTTTTATTTAAATTTTACCCATGTATATATATATATATGTATATATGTATATATATATATATATATATATGTTTCACAAAGACAACATGGTCAGTCTGAAAATACTCGCCGTCTCTGTGTCTTAGTGCATAAAATGTGCCTCATTCAGATTGAGTTTAGTTTCGCAGAGATGTAAATTATCCAGTGGCTTTAGAAGGAGTTTTTAGAACTCCCTAAAACAGATGTGGTGCAGATTGGCTCTGGTGTAAACAGTTCATTAAAAATTGCCATCTCTCATTTCACAACGTGTTTCCAAAAGTGCTGATTTAAGGGGATACTTAGATTGTAATTTGCTGCCAGATAATAATTTTAACTGCCAAAAACACAGCAGGAGCCATTTTCTCCTGGTACCCACAGATTACTGCCTCAGTCACTGATGAAGATTCAAAGCTCTGTGTGATACCAGGGAGATAAAACTGCGGCTCCTTTTGAGTTGGGCTGCTTAACCGTGTACCAGTGCAGAGCACAGAGATAAAACAAACTTACATTTCACTTTTAAATATTTCTGGTGCGGTACAGTGTTTGTGCTGTTTGTGGTAATGGATTATTGATCAATGGCAGTTATGGGCCTAAAGAAGACTACTGTTCCCTGTGATGTAAACTCATTGGATAACCATAATCCCCATTCTTGCAGTGTTTGACATATTTCCTCAGGTGAGAAATATTGAGTGACCCGCAGAGATTTTTGTCCTGCAAATATCTCTGGTGCCTGTAGATAAGGGTGCCACTGCACTGGCTGTCTGTAAAACAAGACAGTAAAAATGTCTGCAGGTGGTATTGCACTGGGAGATGAAATATTGGCTTTGTCCAATTTTCGGCCTGTGTCTCAGCCGTGGCCTTGAGGTGTTTGCGGTCGCTAAGTGCACAAGTGTTTTATTTAAATCAACATTTAGCTCTGACTGGAAAGTGCCAGAGTGGGCAATTCTGAGCTATTTCTCAAATCAGCTGCGGAAAATGGCACCCACTGAGGAGCCACTTCCTGCGTCGACGTCCCACTGAAATCAAATTTACATGGCGCTTGAATTGCCTCAAATTGCTTTCTGTGCCATGCATAATCACCGAAAAGGGGGATGATCCAGCAGAGCGTTGTGTGATTCGTGTGGGAGAAATATATTGGGATCAACTTTGCACTGGAGCTGAATTGGTTAATCTGCTAAACATCAAAGGGGAGAAAGGAAAGGAAGTAAAAAAAAAAGGGGGAATTTATCGCGGGGGCCTGATTGGAAATCCAGCAGGGGGAGTCTGGTCCCTCTGTAATCATCTGTAATCTCCTGTAGGGTTGTATGTGGCCTGAAAGGAGCCCAGAGACAGACTATTACCTATTTCCTGCAGATGGGAGACCCTGATAGCATACTGTTGTGGGATGACAGGAAATGAGGAAGACAACGAGGAGAAGGAGCTGTTGACAGAGTTTAATCTTTTTTACCAGGCTCAACTCTAACGTATCTTTAGAGTGTCATCAAGTCGGTAGGGAAGTGGGCCTCACTGCTAATGAATCGATCACAACTTCCTGGAAACTAAAGTCTCAGTATGAGCTTCTGCATCTGCAGCCATGGAGAGGCTCGTAATTTGAGAATACTGATCAACAGCAAACTCCTGTTACTTACCCCTCTGGACTGTATCTCCTTCACGTAGAGAGGGAGGAGAAACTCTGAGATCCCATCCAGGTGGATGCCTTCCTGGTCAAGATGGAGGTTCCCCATGCCATTCTGAAATATAATCAAGACCATCATAATCATGAATACATGTTCAAGAATAAAAAAAAAATCCAGCCTGGATTACACAGAGTCAGAGCTGCAAAAGTGCCAGTGCAGACAGCACTGCTGAGTGACGGGCAAGAAGTAGGACATGACACAGAGGTGACAATGCCACAAACACTCAGCGGTGTCAGGGGTGACAGGCTGTGAGCTGTGGGAGGTGAAGTGAGCCCAGCCAGGCTAATGTGGCAGCGCTGGATGTGATCGGAGCAGGAGATTGAAACGATAAGAGTTGGAACCAGGTTTATTATAGTTGCCCAAATTCACATGAGTTGTCTTGGTCCTGAAGTGAACTTTACGATAATGAGGATGACTATTATTGGTGATGGTTGTAGTAGCGCTGTTGTATTTTTCCTTTCCTTTCTTTTTTTTTTTAAGACTCAACAGAGAAATTAAATGCAGCAAGAAGTTGGTAATCAAAGTTCATTTACTCCTTTTACAGTCTCAGAGCTATCGCTGACCTTATGATACCTTGCATAATGATGATCCCAACAAGACTATAATTTAATTTTGGGAAAACAGAGCAACCATAAGAACAATATTTTACAGGCTACAGATTAGATAAGTGGGTGTATTTCCTTCGTTATTTATTTATTTTTCTCATACCTCGGCTCCAGGAAGTGATTACTTTTCCATTGTTTATGAGCGGAATGGAAATAAGCTGTGTATCCATCAGTGTTGGCATGAATTACATTCAGGTTTCATTGCAACAGATTAGCTTATGATTAAATGTAACTTTAAACTGCTGTCAGCCATGCAGTCACTTGCTAACTCACGGCCATTTACATTCCCATCCCTCCTTTTTGACGTGGCTTTATGAATGCGTATTATTCAACAACAAACAGGCCAACCTTAAAGACACTTGAGAGATTCCTGTGAGATACAGATTTCCTGCGCCTTTCAAATCTTCAAAAGAGCATGACGACATGTTTGTTCATCAGCCATCGTCTTATTTAGAGGAAAATAGACAGCGCATATTAATTAAAATGACCCAACAATGTCAAATATTTACCTTTGAAGTCATTATGGCTCCAATCTTAAGGGTTTTTTTTTTTAAACGGTTTACATTTTGTACAATTACCACTGTTGTCTTCCATCAGTAATCTATTGGACAGTCTATTTAGTCATTTAGTACATGAGGATATATGGATTCTCTCTAGTCAACTTGTACTTGGCTAGAGTGGTGCAGTGGTAGGATCCCCACATTTGCCACCAGAAGGTTTTGGGTTCTACACCCTTCCCCTAAATCCCAGGTTGGGTTTGGCAGACCATCTGGTCTCCACCAAGTCCCATTGCTGGGGATGTGTAGATAATTGATAATCTTAATTATAATTTTAAGATTTAAAAAAACCTGTCAAGTATTTGTTTTTTGTGGCAGTGTTTGGTGAATTTGATCGATACAAATACGATTGACTTCAACTGACTGTGACCTTCTATACATAGAATTATATAAAAAAAGAACAAGAAATCATTTTATTTGTGATTCATATGACTCACACTGTGACCCAAATCTGACACTTACATACATAACATACTGGCCAAAATCTGTTGCTTTTAAGATACATATGTAGCACCTACCTATCCAATACGCTTCACACACGTGATCACAACATGTAATTCAATAGTGAAGTGCAATTCAGTGCGACACAATATGATTCATGACTCAATCACGACACACAGTTCAATGATTTTGATGATCAAATAACCAAATCAAAGTAAGACATCGTTGCATTCAGCTGTCATATGCAGTTGTAAACAAAAACCAGTCTCACTTTGAGTCACAGGAGGAGCTCAGCTTATCTATTGTGACAATGTGAAAACATGAGAAAATTCTTTAATGAATCACATCTATTTGGTATTTGGTACCGTGAGTCCAAGGCACTGAGACGGCATTTGAAGCCTCGGTTCTCAATCTTAACAAATAAAGATTGATATAGCGTTATTTATTGTCTTTGCCTGAGTGCAGCTGTTAGCCAGTAGAGCAAGGGAAAAGCTTTTAACACATCGCTCACCGCTCTTAGACCTAGTTGCCATATCTGACACCACGGTGTCACCAGGGATGTCAGGTTACTGGCAGAGGTCGCCATGGTTACACTGTGCCATGACTTAGTCACTTCAGGTGACTAATGAGGTCTTTTTTAAAAACTACGTCTGACTTGACAAGTTCTCGGGTTTATTTATAAAATCAACAGTATTGCCAAGCCTTTAAAATGTATAATTAACAGGTGAATAGATAATACTCTCTGCCTCCACCTCTGACATATTTGTACTGAATAGTGTGCCCATGCTAACAATACGCCTCAGGCGCACATATAAAGGTTTTTTTTCTTCATGTTGCATGTTAACGTAACTTAGATGTAGTTGGAGTAAAAATGGCCAAAAATACTTATTTGGTTTAGTAAATGTAGAAATAGGTCAGAAACTACTCAGTGATAAAAAATATTGAATGTCACTAGTCGATGCATGCACGATTTTTTTTCTTTATAAATTGCATCCATTCATAGTTGTTCTACCTGTGTGCTCACATCTTGCCTTCCTCCATGTATCAATGCGTATTATTTAATGCTCTCACCCATAGCACAGATACATGTCTGTTGTTTTTCAAAGTGACCTCAGTGTAATCAGCTCTGATTATTGAAGTGTGACGTTGCTGCATACAAATCAGTGTTCAGATCTTCAGCCTTAGTGTGGAAGTCATTTTCATTTAATTTTACCTAGTTTATGTTATAAATATAAATATATATAAAAATATTGACATATAATATTGGTATATCTCATCAGCTAATACAGTTTAAAAGTATAGTGTGTGTAATGTATGGCGGGCTATACAGTCAGTGACACTGGCACACAATGTTTGTGACCTGATTGGATGTCTTTCTTAAAGGTGGTAATGGCATTAATATTTAATGTTAAATGTTAATCTGTTAATTTCGTAATAACAACCTGCTCAGTTAATGTATTCTAAGATCTAAGATCTGTAACATACGGAGTTACTGCAAAACTGGATGAGGCACTTGCAATGGCCGTACTTGCTGACTTTTCCAAGAAGTAATACTATGTCCGTTTGAAAAGAAAAGTGTGTAGAGTCAGGGGGCACTGCCAGGAATTCTGGGCCCCATGGAAGGATATGACAAAGGGTCCCCAGTGTAACACACTTAAGAACATGAATATATATTTCTGAATACTGTTTACTATTGGATGTAGGACTGGTACCCACTATAAAAAATAAAATAAAAATAGCAGCTGTGGGACAGAAGAAAAGACAAACGTACTGATAAATATGTGTTTTAAACTCTATAGCAATAATTACAACAATAAAATGTAATGTAATAATTCAGAACCATTGGATTTAGCACCTAAACATCAGTAGTAATTAGATTTATTGATAATGTCAACACGATGTTTCCTCCTGTTCCTTCACTATTTTTAATAGTCCTCAATACCATTATCACAAATGTTCTTGTCTGAGGTTTTCAGGTGCTGCTAAGCCTGATAAATGCCCAAAAAAGTGAATCTTAGCAGTAGCTTTTATAACTAGGACTTTTTATGAACCTTCATTATTTATTTTCCCTGCGAACCTTAGGTCACATTACCGTTTGTAACAGAAAAGTCCAACCAATAAATCTAAGCCCAACAATCAGGTCTCATAGCTAATGTCGTCAAAATCCCTGCTAAGTAATAGCTTGTTGGCTAATGCCCCAAAATTTGAAATATAGACGTAAACTTGAGAAGGACGTTGTAAGTAAGACATCGTACTGGGAGTATTTTTCTTCTTTGTCATTTTTTTTTCACATCACTTATCCAGGACCTGATTTCGGTGGCAGACAAGAATATGCTTTTCCACCTGGTAATGAGCAAAGTAACAGCGTGAGGGCAGCTCTGCACAGAAGTATAAACATAGAGACCCAGAGGGATGCTGTTAAAAAAAAGTTTATGATGCCAGTGGCATAAATGAACAGAGACGGTGAATTACAGAGAGCAGCAGGTGAGAGGCAGTCAGGACAGGGACGGTGGGGCCAGTGTGCAGCTCCCTGTCTGTCGGTGGTCGGACGTAAAATGTCAGTTGTGCGCTGAAGTGGAGGTGATGCAGTGGGTGGCCAAAGATGAGTGCGTGCTGCGGTGAGTCAGAGGAGTAGGTGGGAGGGCAGGAGAGCATCACAGTCTGCTCGTGATGAGCTGAAGGCCTGGATGAGCAACACGATGGTAAGAGATAGTTGTAGTTCACGAGGTGAAGCACATCGGCGCTTTGAAGATCGAGGGCATTCTTCTGGAAGGGCGGCAGACAGAAGTTGCTGACATTGCTTTATTAATGGTATGTGACTCTTTGCTCTACGAGGCTGCTGCCCAGTCTGTTCAAAAATAAAGGCTAATATTAGCCTTAATTATAATGATTGCAGTTGTTGCTGGGTCACTGTTGTTTCACTTCTAGCTGAGTAGCAGTTGAACTAAAATTTTGGTCCAAATTGGAGAGGTTCCCCGAGGTCTGATAGTATTTCAGTGTAACCGTTAGTGATGTGCGGATCAATCCTGAAATATCGATACTTCCGATTTTGGATCTTTATGCTCTGAAATCGATTCTGAAATCAAAATATCGATACTTTTGATACTTACGCATTCTGAGATGAGGTGTATCCTAAACAGAAACATGGTGAAAAGTATCCAAATTATTGAGATGTTGTCTAAGTGACGCTCGGTTGGTGGGACTACTTCTTCTTCCGCCTGGGTGTGTGCGTCATGCTTAAGCACAGGGGCTCTACTCCGTGCTCTCACTCAGTCACTATTGATGGGAATTTCGGCTCTTTTTTGGAGAACCGGTTCTTTTGGCTCGGTTCACTGAAAAAATCCGACTCTTTCGGGTCCCAAATGGCTCCTCAGATTATTTATTTTATTTTTTTATTTATTTTTGTTTTACAAATAACATGTTTTCAGAGTTTGAAACATTGTTTTGACATATTTTATATGATTGTGTTCTCAAGGTTTTCTATTGTTGTGTTGACTGTATAGTAAATGAGGCAGCTACCTCAGTACACTCCAGAGTTTAAAATAAATAAATAAATAAAAACCTCAGCCTCGGATTCTTAAAGAAGCTATGATTTGAAATACACATGTTTTATTTAAAAGACAAATGATAAAATATCGATATCCGTAGCAGTCTGGAGTATTTGGAGTCATATAACCTAGGATTATAGATCACAGAGGAAGCCCACTGTTGGAGCGCTCTTCTTGTTTTCCATAGATGAGGTCCTGAAATCTGAGTGGAGTCGCACAGGTGTCTCTAGGCCGGCTTCATTACAAACATGCAGTGACAAAGTAGAACTGCTGTGAAACCAAAGAGGAAGAGTACAACAGGATTTGGTGGCAGTTTCAGTCAGCACGGAGACTGTTATTTTTATATTGAAGTGCAACAAACATGAGTCACACCTGCAGGAGGTAAAATATGCTGCTATGAAACTTAAGGTGACTCCCACACTCCAACCACTGAAGTGCTAACAACGTGGAGCTAATTACATATCATGTGCATTTTCAGTCGCCGACTGCCATTCCCATTTCAGGAGCAATAAACACAACCTGCACATTCCACAGGTTAAAAACACATGCTACTAGAACAGACGCATGTTTCTGGAAAGGCAGTGAAAACTCCAGACTCTAGCACTTCATTTGAGCAGTGTGTTTGGAGCCTGCATGAAACCTTTGGGGAGAACCCATTAAATTCACAGCGTTTGCACTTCAAGACAGTAAAGTTGGGAAACCTGGGATTCCGAGGGCAATATTTCCACCTTCCTACCTCCTGTTATCGTCAGCATTCCACATAGATTCCACACTTTGAGTTTTCTTTTCTTCTTTTCCACAGTCTGTGCTGCTTGGAAACCCGTACTGTTAAAAGTCATTCACTTGTGGCTTCAGTCATCGTCAGGCTTTTCGTGTGATGTCCTTTGATAGGCGGTCGTATACCTGTCTGACCTAAAATGATGAAACAGTAAAGTTTGACGCTGCGTATAAAAGTAAGAACGTGAGCTGTCTGTTCGCCTGTAGCCGTTTCATAAATACAACAAACAATCGCTGATAAAGAAGTAAATATACAGCCTGTAAACAAAAGTATGCTTTGATAGGTTTTCTTTTTTTGAGCTTTTCAACTGGAGAGATTCGAAGCAGTGAAGTACATTTTCTCCAACGACACCAACACCACTGATAAGGCCTTTTGCTTGTGACGCAGATTGATGGGAGGTGAAGCAGTGCAGCAGTGATAGCAATAGTCCAGGGTGGCTTCGTCACACATGCAGGAAGCTGCCACTGAGAGCGTGTTGACAAAACGCTAAATTGTGTGCATTGTCTCAGAAAATGTCAACGAAGCTCTGAGCATCTGCCTGTTTGGTGTTTGGTTTGGGATTAACACATTCTACGTCTCCCAAATCCTGCTGCCAAGTCTTTTTTTTTTCTTTATCTAATCCACATGAGAGGAAGTACACTTTTGTACTACAATCTCAGCAAGTAAGTGTGAATCCAGCCTCTCTGCCTGGACTTTGTGTGTAGGCTGCAGAGGCTGGTTACAAAAATGGAACTTCTTCTATTTCTTCTTCTAGTTTGCAGGTGACATCATAGATTCCGATCCAGGTTTCTGTGCTGTCACTCAGACATCCTGCCATGCGCTGCAGAATGAAATTACGTCACATCAGGCCACAAAACAAAATACCCCAGATAGAAAAAAAAATCCCGAAGAAAAATAAACCAGTTTAAAGGAGAGAGTGAAAAACGATATGAATATGAAGACAGTGAGAGATTCTCTCGCTTGGACGATATCTCAAAAGCAGGGAATCTTTTAAAACATCGACGTGAAGAGTAGTGTCTGAGATGCAGCGTTCCATTTTCTCTTATCTTTGCTGCATGTTTCACAGGAACTCACTAGCACATCCATACCCTTACCTGTTGGGATTTGCTGCATTTGTTTATGTTATATATATTTTCAAAAAACATTATTAAAAACCAAATACATGTGTGGAAAGAGAAACGTGCACTCGTTATGTCTGTGATTTATTTATTTATTCCTTTACCATTTTTCATCATTTTATATATATATATATTTGTTGCTGAATTATAGATGTGATTACAACGGCCTTATTTTTCAAGAAATATTCACATCTGATGCGCATGCATACAAATAACTGATAATAAAGGGCACCTGTATTATAAAGTCAGCTATGAAGATTCCACGGAAGTGAAGCTACGCAATGATATTCATTTATATATATTTATCAGCAATATTGTTGTTGGCTCTGACAGCTCATGATTAAAGTCCTGTTGTTTGCTGTTAATACTTTGCCATAATTTAAATTTTGAACTGAACTGAAGCCAGGGTTTAATCCTGTAAGAGGTTAGTACATCATCCCTAACTGTCCGTCTGTTGGATCATTGTTATCAACACTGACTTTAGACCCAATATGGGGGATTTTCCATTTCTAAGAAAGATGGTGACCCGGAGGAGGCCAGGACTATTGTTTCAGGCTAATGGCGTCTATTTTGGAAGCTCAGCTTGAACACTTTTTAACAGGCAATGTGAGATAAATAGATAAGTGTTTTTTTGAAGCAAAGCTACTTTACTGAAGTCCCTGAATGAAAATAAAACATTATAAATGGGCACAGGAGATCCTCTTTAATATGTTGCAGACCATTAAGTTAATCCCCACAGTTAAATTCCAGGCTCATAACCTCTTTTTTCCCCACTGACTCAGCCTCATTTTGGACAATGTCCCTGCAAAAGTACTCACCACTGAGAAATTCATGACTTTTATGATCCACACAGTGAGGGCCAGGTTAACTATCATAGTGACCAGGAGCAGCAGCAGGAAGAAGTAGAGGAATCGCTTCCTCCAGCCGTACAAACCCACAGGGTAAATGGCATCGGAGGCCGGGCGCTGGAGGTGCAGGGACTGGGACGAGAGGACAAACTGCTCCTGGGTAATCTGGAAAACAAAGAGACGACGGAGGAGCCTTTATGTTAGCTGGCTGCCAAGGACAGATCCATTTCACAGAAGCAATCAGGTATCGTAAGAGGGTATTATCTTGCAAGCACCACTAAAAATGACTCAGAGCTGAGCCACAGCAGTGCTGTTTTACTGTTTTCAAAAGTGGTGCTGCTACAAGTACAAAAGGTGAAGGTGCATCACGAGTGTGGACCGGGCCCTGCCTGAAACGTTCATGCCTCCCCATAAAATGGACCGAGATGGTGATTTCCAGACTTATTTATGGGATGTTGGAAATTGGAGTCATGTTTTTAACTTTCATACTAAATCTGGATGAAAGCAGCTCGCATGCTTTGAAACAAATGAATCTGTCACGCTGCATGTGCTGAAAACAAGGTCACTGGGTGGATCTGACTTCATTAACAGAAGCTCCAAATGATTGTGCCACTTCCTTTGTTACTTACTGCTGCAGAAAACCAGGAAATCATCAGTTAAAATTCAGGGTTTCAGGAGAAATAAGTGTCAGAAAAATGAAAAAGCTCCAGCACATTTTAACTGCATTTGTCAAGAAGCCAGAGGAGCAGCTTAGTCTCTATCATAACGTCGACGGTTGAGGATTTCTGCCCGTTAATGTGTTTTTAATGTAGTTATACATGGAATTTAATAACGTCCCCCTCCATGTGACTTTTTGACATTTTGTCACAAACGATCGGAGGAAAAACGTGAGTGACGGCTTCCCTGCAGTCGATCTGTTTACTATTTCCTTTGAGCTGGGATCTTTATAGTGTCACTGCCCATCAGCCTTTGGGGTAAATATTTCACATATGCCACATTCACCTAGGAGGTGATTTGGACCTACGGCAAATGCAGTAAAAAAGATATGAAGCTCAGTGATATGGCATCCACAGCAGTCAATCTCACTGTCACCACAACTGGGCGGTTTCTTCACACATGAAATTTTATATTATTAAGCAAGAAAAACAGATGGTGAATTATGGGACGCCAGGAAAACAGGCTGAAAAAGCCAAAGTGTGTTCCTGCCAGCCACATGGAAGCTGCTGCCGCGTGAAGAACACTCTGATCCCAGATCAGAGAGGACGATGTCTGTCAAGTGCGGTTGTCCAGACCAGACCTGAGTGCTAGCAGCTTCTCCAGCCGATTGTGACCGCGAGCTGACAGCGTGAAACTCCACATCACAGGCTGTGGCGCTGGCGTAGGCCCTGAACAGTTAATGCTGCCGACTTGTATTCACTGTGAGGTGGCTTGTCACATAGATAATGGATAAAGCTGCGAGAAACCAAGATAAAATGTCCAACAGCAGCAGCAGCAGAATTTGTTTTCTAAGTAATATTATTTCATATGTCCCAGTTAAATCACACCACCAGGTGCCGTCAGCGGCCGTGTTCTCAGGGCAGACTTTTATTTACTGCAGCAGAGCCAGACGAAGACTCTTTACCCCAGCAAATAAAGATGTTCACAGAGAGCAACTAAATGACTGGACCAAGGTTTTAATTAACTGCCAGGACATATAATTACAGACGGTGATTGTGTATTTGTTATCGTTGTAATAAATCAATCTCTCTAACGCAGAGGCAACAGCCGATACATTTGGGTGATTGTAAAACCCACAAAGTGTGAATCCACTTCATTAAAATTGTATTTTCTGTGAGTATCACACGCTGTGCAGCGCATCAGCTGGTTAAGGGCTGCTGCCAGAAATAGGTTTATGACCTTCAGGCTGTCCAGGAATTCATAGAAACACTTCCCAACAGCTGAAGTGTTTGCTCTGCAGGTACACCTCAGCAGTTTGTTCATTGTTTTGATTCGTTTACAGTCAAATATTCTTTATTCACGCACCATTTATTTTATAATGTAACTGACAAACGTCATCTGCAACTTTCCCTGGTTCCTCACATTTGTAGACACTCTTATTAATTAATTACAGCAGAAATGTCAACCATCTTAAGGGCGTTTAAATTTTTTTACAACAAACTCATTAAAATTATTTTAAAAAAAGTGTGCAGTGTCATAGATGAGTGAAGACTAGTGAAACACAGAGTACCTGATTTTTGAGAGTCCTGCCATGTAGCATGTGTTTATGATGGTGATAATTTAAAAGCATTATAGGGACACTGGAGAGACCCCTTTTAGTTTAAAAGTCACCAAAATAATACTAGTATTTAAAATGTGATCTGTGTAAGACATAACACATTATTCATAGAGACTGTCCGCAACTTTTTTCGTACAGGACAGGTCGGCCGGAAACACAGCACCTTATGTTATAGGATCGATGAAGCATTTAAAGGATCAGTGCCTTGTGTTTTTTTTAAATATCTCTTAGACTAGAGACAGGACTTCTGTAAGAGAACCAGCACTTAGGGCTTAGGCTTCCATCCCTCCTGTTTCTTTGTGTGTGTACACTGCGCTGTCTGTAAACTACGGAAGTAGCTACAGCTCACAGGCATGAGCCGGCGTATGTCTGACAAAGAGACTCTAGGACAGGGATGTCAATCTCAAATTCACAGTAGGCCAAGTCGCAGAACTTAATATTTATTTAAAACATTGATGTCAATTGTGCATGTTTTCCCTCCTCTCCAGATATGGAATTCTTTCATATGGAAACAAACTTTAGTTTTGCGCAGAATCTGGAACAACCAAAGCTTAATATTATAAACACAAACATAGAAATTATGGAAATGAAACACACATCAGTGTTATTTATTTCTTATTATATCTCTTTATCTGTAGCCTTTCCAGTTTCTTTTTAATGTAAATCATTTTTTCACACGCCAACAACAAAAAACTAAAATGTATGTGCTATAACATAGGGCATGCACCACTAATACTATAAATCTGGCCAGTATACAGGGCCTATATACTGGCAGGCCAACTCTAGTACACATTTGGTATGATCTCTCGGGCCAAATATATTTACAATGCGGGTGAGATTTGGCCCCCGGGCCTTAGTTTGACACGTGTGCTCTAGAAGCTGTTTTCATTTGTAAGGAAGAAAGGAAGGAAGGAAAGTGAACTCCGTGACATTGTGACACAACCAAATGTGACCTCTCATTTTAACCCATCACCAAAGTGAACAGTGGGCAGCTTTAAGCGCCCCGGGATTAGTGTGTGGGGACGGTGCCATGCTCAGAGCACCTCAGTGGTAACTTGGCAGCTGGTGGATTCAAACCTGCAACCTTCCAGACCCAAGTCCGCTTCCTTAACCACTAAGCCCCAATGTTGTAACTGACCCATGTTGTGAAAAATGTAAGTAACCAAACACTATAGGACAGAGTGCTGAAAGTTAGCCAAACGTTAGACAAAGAGCTACAGCTTTTGCACTATAATTAAGTTAAAGGTTCACTTGAAGTGTATTACCCAAGGATGTCATTTTCAAACTTGTAGTAAATTAAAAAAAATTGTAACTGTTTAAAAAAAAAACACATTAATGACAGTGTTGTTTGAAACTTTGATGCCTTAATTACCAAAGACTTCCCAGTAATGACACAGTTCCTTGGACAATGACCTGCTTCAGGACAATCTGTGAATCTGAAAAGAGAGTTTTATCACCGGCCCACATCTTAATCCACTCTTTAAGTGACTGCTTCCTTGGATGAACAGCTAAGGTCATATCTGCAGGTTTTGTGGCAGATGTCTCACAAATGGATGTTACGACTTTGCTGTAAATACAAATGACCCACAACACTGCCCCAGAAATGTCAGTGATTCCAATTTAACCGGGGGATACGGCTAAAGGACAGGGGCATTATGAGAGGTGCTTACGCACAGGCTGAATATAAACTCCCAGAGCGCTGTCTCAAAAGACTTTCCCACAACTTTTCACAAACGCAGTCTATGGAGCGTGCCAGGCATTAAGACATAAACTCCATGATCTGCAAAACATATTTTATAGTCTTAACTTCATACTTGTTCTTACAAGTCAATATGCTTACAAGGAACAGTTTGAAATCCTAATCTTTTAGCCCAAAGCTGTGCCCCTGCTGGACACCTTCAGTTATTTTCACTCCACTGTTGCTAAGGGAATTTTCAGCTCTTGCAATTTCTATGGCAACCCACAGTTCCCATTGCTGGAGCCTGCTGTAATTCCTTCGCAAGAGGTTTATTACATATATCACGCTGGTCAAGTCTGGCCTCCTGAAACTTGGTTATTCAGAGTAAGAGGAGGCAGAGGAGGAGGAGGAGGAGGAGGTGGTGGGAGAGGAATGCAAGGTGCCGGGCATTCTGTCGATCTGTCATTTCAGCATGCCGGTCACAGCTGACTCCTACAAACACGATAGACTGGCCTGGATTGGACAGGACTGGACTGGACTGATTGAGATGTCAAACAGCTGCAGCTTTGAGGAACTACTCTGACTTTTAAAAGAAACAAATTATTGATTAAAACCCGGGCTAGGGAAGAGAAAATCACACAATGGCTGGATCCCATCTATCAGTTTGTGTCAGGCGGAGGAAGTCTGACAGTTACCTCTTAATATGCAGAAGCCTTATAAAGCAGCACAGCTAAAAATAGTAGATTCTACATTTCACCGAAAACTGCACAGCAAACAGGTCTGCACTTTAAGGGCATCCATGATGAAAAGTCTTCATTATCATCAGTGGTCAGTTAAAGGTCACCGCAGCTGTAAATGTGTCTCTATAAAAAACATGAAGAACTTGGAAATAAACTGGAATCAGCTCCAACAGCCAACATCTAAACAAACCCAATATGGACTATGTAAAAACATCACAGGCATCAAGCCCAACGAAAATGTTTCATTTTGACCGACCCAGCAAATTCCAAAGCTACTTATAGCTCAAGAATATAACCTATAGCATGTATGGCCACAAGAGGGCACCATCTGCGCTTTTGACAACTGAACATGGCTATGGAACAATTTGTACTGCAGAATCCAAGTTCAACATGTTGACTTTGTTAGCCTTTCACGCTAGTATAGTTAGCCTATGTGGCAGTGGTGGCTTAGTGGTTCAGAAGGTCGTAGGTT